TGTGTATATATATATATATATATATATATATATATATATATATAAGGGGAAGTTGTGTTGACACTTAAGAGAGCAGTGCTGGATGGAGAATCAGGCCTGGCTCTCATTTTGATACTGAATAAAATTAGAAATAGCTTGATCCTGAGAGAGTGTATTGGAGCTGCCTTACAGATAAGTGTCCCAAATGGTCTTCTCCTCTTTAGATTTCTACTTATTTCTCACCACAGTTGTCAGTTAAGCCACAGGATAACTGCAGACTTTTCCCCATAAGAGAAAGGCTGCAACATAGAGGGTGTATCATTCAAGGCTCTTACATGGAGTGTGCATCACTGAAGGCTACAACATGAAGGGTGAATCACTCAAGGCTACACCATACAGGGTATTTCATTCAAGGTCACAATAGGAAGAGTGTTATCATTCAAGGCTATAATGTGAAGGGTGCTGTATTTAAGGTTACAATAGAGAGAGGGATGCATCATTCAAGGTCCAGCTCTAAAGAAAAAAATGTCCATTGATGGACATCCTCCCTGAATTCCTGAACATCTTCCAATGGAAACCACCTCTTCAACTGTAGTCATGAGAGGAGGATCTCTTGGGAGATGAAAGAGAGAAGAAAAAGAAAGCTTTCCTCCCTTTTATTAAATATACTGGAAAATTCAGATTTTATGGTCCTGCAAGAATGTGAAAAGATGGAAAAGAGTTAAGTTTCCCTAATGTTAACATTAGCTCAGGATATGTCAAATGTAAATGAAAATTATTGCCCTTGTTTCAGAAGAAGAAAATGTTTGACTAAGCCTCCTTTATGCTAACTTAGTCCCTGTCTTGAATAGTGCCTCCCCACAAAATCTTGTTCTTGAGCTATTATGCATCTATGGAAATTCACCTCAACTGCTCTCTCCTCAAGTTTGCATGTTCCACTGTACTCAGTCTGCCACTATTAGCAGAATTGATCATCTCTCATGTGAGCCACTACTATAACTGCATATATTTCTGTGATAAAATTTATTCTACCATATTTCAATTATTTGATGTATTTAATACATTATTTAAATGTATCCTGTAGTATTCAAATTACTATTTGCCATATGAAACTACAATTGATAGGGTTTTTAAGTGTCAAACATTCAACTTCATAGAAAACTATTTTCACATATTTGCTTATTAATTTTTGATATCATAAATGTACAATTTGATAAATGTTTACTCGAAGTAAATCATCCCCAGGCTTGTTAAATTGTCTGCATTGATAGCTATTGCTAAATTCTACAGAAAACACTTCTAACATTGGATGTTTAAATAAAATAATTATGTCTAATGCATCTAGTAATTGTAGAAATGTTCAGCCTGATTACATGAAGTAAGCATGATAGTTTTAATATTTATTTAGCAGAAGAGTAATTGAAATATCAGTTCTCTAGAACAATCAGGAAATGTATGCTTTGTGCTTTTAAGCTTACGCTAAACAGATGACCATACTCAAATGAAAGACAGGGAGAGGTAGAAGAAATAGCTAAGAACTTGAAAAGATGGTCAACAAAGCAATGTCTGCTTCCTTCATAAAATTGTGTTTAGGGAATATTCACAATTCAGCTTGTATACAATAGTAATTTTGAATGTATTTTTAAATTTATTTTTTCAAAATAATGACAGTAGCAAAAATTTTACATAGCCTGTATTGAATTCACACATTCAAATGAGGCTTTACCAGTAATAATGGGGGTTAATACAGAGCTAGTGTTTGGCATTTGACTTTATCTTAAAGGAGCTAATTGCTCAATGAATTACAGAAGACTTATACTCTTTTTATTTTTTCCTGGAAATTAAAAAAGGAAAGCTTTACTAAATATTGACATATATATTTACTCCAAATTTTACATTAAGTAAAATAAGAATATCTCTAGTAGCTTAGTTAACATCAACAGAAAGCTTCAAAGGATGATTCTGAAAATGGCAGGCAAAATTTCTTTTTATTGTAGGCAATTACTTAAACTGGAAATTTGGCTTTATGCATAATAAGTCATGTGGGTAAAACATCCACATTGCAGTTAGGCTTCCAGTATCTAGCTTTTATTTATTTTTTAGCAATGACATTAACAAGATTTTGCCAGGTTATAAAACTGAGGGCTTTCTTGAGAATTATTTATAGTTTCCGAGCTGAATGGCAGAGCGCACGTAGACACATCTGAAGGTAGATGGCTGTATCTCCCAGTACTGGACCGGGTTGCTGAAAAGACTCACGCCCGAATAAGAAGCCTTTTTGGTGTTGTGTCCAGGTGGGCAGAAGTCACTTGATCCAACTACAGAGATATTGTTGTTATGAAGGTAGACAACCTGCAACATGAAACAATAATTATTATTCTCTAAATGTTGAGGCCCTGCAGCTAAATAGTTTATTCTTTTTAATATATTTTATCCTTCACTTTTTTTTTTTTTTGAGACAGGGTCTTGCTGTGTCACTCAGGCTGGAATGCATTGGTGTGACCCCAGTGCATTGCAGCCTCTGCCTCCAAGATTCAAGCTATTCTCCTGTCTCAGTCTCCTGAGTAGCTGGGACTACAGGCTCATGCCACTACGCCCAGCTATTTTCTGTGTTTTTAGTAGAGATGGGGTTTCACCATGTTGGCCAGATTGGTCTCAAACTCATGACCTCAAGTGATCCACCCACCTTGTGTGATTACAGCATGAGCCACCATGACCGGCCCAACTTTGAATACCTAACTACTTCTCAGACAAAACTTTCAATTTCTCCTTTCTTTTATAAAATTTGTTTTTCCCTTCCTAGTCTTGTCTTCCCCATCTCAGTAAGTTGCATGCCAATCATTTCAGATGTTCAGGCTATATGCATTGTCATTTTCCTTGAGCTCCAATTCTCTTAGGCTCTCTACTCAATCAACAATTCTTGCTAGCTCAGCCTTCAAAATGTACACTTAATTCAGTTCTTCTCTCCATGTCTACTCCCACAGCCTTGTTCAAGTCACCATTCTTTCTTCCCAAATGATTGAAGTTGTCCTGATTATTCTTCCTTCTTTCCCCTTTACCTTCCTAAATTCTATTTTGTTTGAGCTCTCAGAGAAATTGCTTTAAAAAGTAAACCAAATTACATGTTCTTTGCCTCAGCACTTCAGTGGTTTCCAATCTTATGCAGAACAATAAAATCCAAAGTTCTCACAGGGGCCTACAAATCCTACATGATCTAATATCCTTTTACTCTGACCTTTTCCTTTACTATACAAGCCAATCATCTGGTCTACTTGCTGCTCTTCTAATGCACAAAGCATGATCTCTGCTTAAGTTATCAACAGCATTTACTCAAACTGGAATGATCTCTAAAGCATCTTCAAAGCTTGCTGCCTCATGTAATTCACTGTTTCTTACTAGAGATACCTTCCTTGACCACACCATTCTGCCATTCTCTGGGGCAGAATTACATTAAATTTCTTTATTTTTCTTCATAGCATTATCAATATGTAGCATATTATGTTTATTTGCTATTGTTTGTTTCTCTCCTCTAAAGTAAAAGCTCCATGAGACAGGAATGGTTCTGATTGTTTATGGCTGCATTTCCAGTACTAGAACAGAGCAGGTGTTCAATAAATATATGTTGAATGAATAAAATGTTATTTCATATACCAGGTCTACATGACTATATTGGGTCTACATGAAACATTATGGTTTCAGGGTAAAAATACATAAACCTTTTAACAAAATTATATAGAATGAGAAAGTGCTATGTAGTGAAAAAGAAAAAGAGAGTATAAAGTACTGGAATTGAAATAATCACAAACTCCAAAAAGTACTTAAATATTTAAATGTCACAGCATTTAGAATAAATTTGTTAAACCTAGGAAGTTTTAACAAATGTGGATTTTATGTAATACATTTTACTCAATGAATATAGTGCTATATAATTAATCATAATTTTTTTCTGAATTATGTTTTACAATCATATTTAAAATAATGGTAATTTGTCCACAGATTTTCTTAGGGTCACTAAATATAAGACTTATACAAAGAATGTTAGAAATAAGTTTACACTTCCACTCTGGGGATATGAATTCTATAGGTCAAGAAGCAACTTATCCAAAATCATACAAGCTAGGTTAGAATATAACGCTAAGACAACAAGGTCTAAAGTGAGCTATAAAACCTATGAAGTACTCCCTTACAAAATAACTTGAAACATTGCTGTACCTCCTAGGACATTCACATTCATGTGCTGGTTAAAATGACTTTGTTTTTGTAAGAGTTTAAAAGCAAACTAGTAGATGTCATATAAAAACAGAAAGAAGGAGTATTCAAGTGAAAGCAACACTTATATGCATGGTTTATGAGTCTCAAATTTTGAAAGTTTCTTGTTGTCATTTACTATCCTCTATGTTCCAGCAAGTAAAGGAAGGGGTGTTTGGTGACCACTTATGGCTAATATTGAAAACAAGAGAAGAAAATATCAAGACATAAGTATTAGTCTGTGTAAACAAAATAAAAGTAGATTCCAATCTCATTCTATGGGGTCAATATTCTCTAAGACTAAAGCCAGACAAAATTCATCACAAGAAAAGTGTAATCAAATATCTCTTATGAATATGGACAAAAAAACTTTAACAAAATATTAGAAAGCTACATTTCACAACATGTAGAACGATTATATACTATGGGACCAAACATGATTTATCTCAGGGTTGTAAAATTAGTTTAACATATGAAAATCAATCAATGTAATACAGTCTATCAAAAATATAAAGGCCAAAACTCGCATGATTATCTCAACAGATGCAGGAAAAACATGTAAGAAAAAACAACAACATTCATAATAGGTGCTTTCGGTAAGCTTGAAATAGAAGGGAACTTCTTCAACTTGATAAAAAGCATCTATAGAAGACCTGTAGCTAGCATCATAACTAATGGTAGAATGAATGCTCCCTCCTCCTAAACTAGCAAATAAGGCAAAGATGTCTAATTTCATTACCTCTATTCAACATTGCACTGGAGATTTCAGCCAATGTAATGGGTGGGTTGGGGGCAGAGAGGGGTACTAAAAGAATCCAAATAAAATAATTAAAGCTGTCTATTTGTGAATAATATATCCTGAATATAGACTATCCAAAGGAACTCACAAAAATCACTGTAACTAAAAACCAATTTAGCATAGTACTAGGATAGCTCAATACATAAATATCAATTATACTTTTATACATTAGCAGCAAACCAGTAAAAAATTAATAATTCAAAACATCATCAAAAAGAATGAAAAAAATGTAGAAGAATTGCAAGATATATATGCTAAAGATGACAAAGCCTGTTGAGAATAAGAAAAGAAGATATAAATAATCCTTGTATATTGGAAGGCTTGATGTTATTACTATAGTAATTACTATAGATTCAAAACAAAGCCCTCCAAGAATATTTTTCCAGAAATGAACAAGTAAATCCTAAAGTTTATATGAAATGCAAAAGAACCAGAATAGCCAAAATAACTTTGAAAACAAAACAAAACAAAACAAAGTTGGAGAACCTACATTTCCTTTTTTATTTTTTTGAGATGAAGTCTCACTCTGTCGCCCAGGCTGGAGTGCAGTGGCACGATCTTAGCTCACTGCAACTTCCGCCTCCCAGATTCAGGCAATTCTCCTGTCTCAGCCTCCTGAGTACCTGGGATTACAGGTGTGTGCCACCATACCCAGCTAATGTTTGTATTTTTAGTAGAGACAAGGTTTCACCATGTTGGTCAGGCTGGTCTTGAACTCCTGACCTTGTGATCCACCTGCCTCGGCCTCCCAAAGTGCTGGGATTACAGGCATGAGCCACTGCGCTCGGCCATAATCTGCACTTTCTAATTTCAAAAGTTAACCTAAGGCTACAATAATTGAAAGGTACAATACTGTCATATGACTAAACATATAGATAAATGTAATAAAATTGAAAGTACCCCAAAACCTAAAATGCAATAAAATAAATAAATGGGAAAAAAAAAATTGAAAGTCCAGAAATAAACTCTTACATTTATGGTCAAGTGATTTTCAACAAAGAAGCAAGACAATTCCTTGGAGAAAGAATATTGTTTCCCACAAATGGCATTGGGACAATTGCTATCCACATATAGAAAATGAATTAGACTGTTATACCATATACAAGGATTATCTCAAAATTGGATTATAAACCCAAATATAGGAGTTACAATTATAAAATTTCTAGATGTTAAAGTATTCTCAGGTTCTACACAAAACTATGGTCTATGAAAGTAAACAAAAGTGATAAAATAGATTAATAATCCCCTGTGGCTGGAGATGAGATACCATCTCACTCCAGTTAGAATGGCGATTATTAAAAAGTCAGGAAACAGTAAATGCTGGTGAGGCTGTGGAGAAATAGGACTGCTTTTACATTGTTGGTGAGAGCATAAATTAGTTCAACCATTGTGGAAGACAATGTGGTGATTCCTCAAGGGTCAATAACCAGAAATACCATTTGACCCAGCAATCCCATTACTGGGTATATACCCAAAGAAATATAAATCATTCTGCTATAAAGACACGTGCACACATATGTTTATTGCGGCACTACTTACAATAGCAAAGACATGAGACTGACCCAAATGCCCATCAGTGATAGACTGGACAAATAAAATGTGGTACATATATACCATGGAATACTAAGTAGCCATAAAAGGGAATGAGATCATGTCCTTTGCAGGGACATGGATGAACTGGAAGCCATCATCCTCAGCAAACTAACACAGGAAGAGAAAACCAAACACTGCATATTCTTACTTGTAAGTGGAAGTTGAACACTGAGAACACATGGACACAAAGAGAACACATGGATACAGATAGGGGAACAAAACACACAAGAGGTGGTGGGGGGATGAGGGGAGTGAACTTAGAGGATGGGTCAATACGTGCAGACACCATAGAACACATATATCTATACAACAAACCTACATGTTCTGCACATGTAGCTCATATTTATTTTTTAGAGAAAATTTTAAAAAAAGAAAAGATAAATGAGGAGGCCATGTCAAAATGTGCAGGAACTAGACCAAAGAAGCTCCTCCCAGTCAATTATTGAATAATTTGAAAATTAAAATTAATAATGACAGTAAAAAAAGAGAATTTTGATTTTACTTGTGTCTTCAAACTCCCCCTACTCACTATTGCACCACCAATACCACCACCCCTACTGAAAAAATATCAGTATTAAAAAAAGACTTTAAGTTTCATCTTCATACTTCTAAATCAAACACTTTATTGTGACCTAGCTAATGTAAATTGTGCTTGATGATTTAATTTTAGTTTATGGGATTTTGTCATAGAAATTCTAAGACACTGAGCAAAAAAAAAAAAAAAAAAAAAAAAGTTCTAAGGAGAGCTTCCTGCCTCCTAGCATCCCACAGAAGAGGGGTTTGCTCTCTGGATATTCCTCACATAAGCAGTGGCTTTGCATTACCTGGATGTACTTATGCTCTGCCAGCCCAGGAGGTACTCTGGTAAGCTTGTTGTTGTTCAAGTGAAGCTCCCTCAGATGAGGTGTGTTGGCCAGAGAGCCGTTTTCGACACCAGAGATGCTGTTGAAACTCAGTCCCAGCCTACAACAGAAAGCAGAAATAAAAGCAAATACCAACATGGATGCCTTTCTTACAAGCATTGTGAAATTATCAAGTCTATAGGAAAGGACATTTTTTGTTGTTGCACTTACTGTTTCTAGTTGTTGGAGTGCTTTTTCTAACCTTTATGAGCCTGGACAAAACCCATTTATTCTTAAGGTCTTGGCTAAAAGTTATTCTCTTTGAGATTCATCTGACAGAATGTGATTGGATACAATCTCCTATTTCTTATAAAACCCAAATTCCAACATTCAATTTTGGACTACCATATTATTGGAACACAATATCCCTAATAATTTATTTTTCAAAACTGTTCACTTATTCAAACATCTATTTGCATATTTAATAAACAAATGGTCTCAATAATTTATTATATGCATGATATTATACTAGGCATTGTGAGGGACAGAGGTCTCATGGGTCAAAAACCACTTTTCCCATCAAAGAATATTTCACCTTGTAAGGGAGTTGATTATACATACACACACACACACATATACATATATATATATATAAAATTATAAGACATTATAATTTTCTTTTTACTTAATAAGAAAAGTAAGAGAAGGTTGTCTGAAAACCAATTTATATTTTTGCAGAGGATACATTATTTTCATACATTATTTTCTTCCTACTTGTTCTTAATAACCAATTCAAACATTTGTACCGTAAAAATTGTTCTGAGATCAGTGGCTGTTTCTTTCATCTTTTCAGTTTTTATTTTCAGCACCAAAATATTTCTCATGTTCCAATATCAATTAGAAATAAACAACATAAGGATTTGATGGTTTAATAGACAGCTTTTCCTGGATTTGTTTCCAAAAAGAAATATGTTTGATAAATTCAGGAATTGAGAAAGTTGTCTGACCAATTATGTATTCTGTTCTAATTTAATAAATGAAATTCAAAGTTAATTTAAAGAGATATCTGAATTTCTGTTGGTGTCTTCAAAGTTTCTGAGGTCTTAACTCCTTGGTTTGATGCAAAGCATATGATATCAATATTAAAGTACAGAATGTCAAATGTCATAACACTTTTAGTGCAAAATAAACTTTTTCTAAGATGGCACACATTTTGAGAATGATTTTCTATTTAAAAACTTTAGAATATTGTTTATTTCTACTACAATTACTACTACTGATAATAACAAATAATAAAAATGGTACTAAAGTCAGGTCTACACATTAACCAAGGCAATGTATCTGTCTACATTTTTCTGCAGCTAAATGAACCTAATCAATGAAGAAGGGTAGGTGATACATAATACTATTGTGAAAAATGTTTTCTACATTACAGGCCGAAATTAAAAGATGTGAATGAAGGATGTCTTATTACCTGAGACACCACAGTAATGTAGTATAACTACAGTCACGTGCATATGCACACTTTCAACCCTCACCAACTACTGGGCCATTGAGGAATAGCTATAGAAATTGGAAAAGCCGCATTACACATCCATTTGGTCTCATGTATTTCTTAAAGATTCAAAAATATATTTTATAATTACTTATCCACCTTGAAATTTATACATAAAAACAGGAATGAGTAAATTTGGCATGATACTGTGTTTCTTTATAGGAACAGTCAGCAATATGTACAGATCAAGAAGAACATAGTGTTGCTGAAGACAAATGAAAATCTTTGCCAGATGGAAGTTATGTTTGAAAGCAGGACAAGTACTAGTATCACTTAGTTTTTTAAAAAAATCATGAAGAAGGGCTAGCAAAAACAACAACAAAAGCTTTCCTTTTGATGATCTACATCAAATGTCCAGAGATATTTTATTTTAAACTCCTCAGAGAAGAGGGGTTTAGAGAATCTCATAACTATTAAAATAGTAATTTGTGTAATACTCAATATTTCTATGTCTCAGTAGATTTCATTTTAATGCATTTTCAAATTCTGGACACTGTGTTATAATTTACACCTCCTTGTTGAGGCAAAGAAGTTAGAACATATTAAATGCACATGTTGATTTAATTGAAAACTTTATAAAATATAACTAAACAGTACAGTATTAATAAAATATGAAGCTGATCTTGGTGGTTTTAGTAAGTGTACTAGTTAATTGGCTTTTTCTCAAGAAATAATTGGATATGCTGAAGTTTCAGATTATTAGAAACCAGACATACAAAGAAGAGCTGGTACCATTCCTTCTGAAACTATTCCAAACAATACAAAAAGAGGGAATTCTTCCCAAATCATTTTATGACACCAACATCATCCTGATTCCAAAACCTGCCAGAGACTCAACAAGAAAAGAAAACTTCAGGCCAATATCCATGATGAACATAGATGCAAAAATCTTCAATAAAATACTGACAAGCCGATTGCAACAGCACATCAAAAAGCTTATCCACCATGATCAAGTAGGATTCATCCCGGGGATGCAAGGCTGGATCAACATACACAAGTCTATAAATGTAATTCACCACATAAACAGAACCAAAGACAAAAACCACATGATTATCTCAATTGATGCAGAGAAGACCTTTGACAAAATTCAACAGTGCTTTATGCTAAAAACCCTCAATAAGCTAGGTATTGATGGAACATATCTCAAAATAATAAAAGCTATTTACGACAAACCAACAGCCAATGTCATACTGAATGGGCAAAAACTGGAAGCATTCCCCTTGAAATGTGGCACCAGACAAGGATGCCCTCTCTCACCACTGCTATTCAATATAATATTAGAAGTTCTAGCCAGAGCAATCAGGCAAGAAAAAGAAATAAAGGGCATTCAAATAGGAAAGGAGGAAGTCAAATTGCCTCTATTTGCAGACGACATGATTGTATATCTAGAAGACCCCATCATCTCTGCCGAAAATCTCTTGAAACTGATAAGCAACTTCAGCAGTCTCAGGATACAAAATCAATGTGCAAAAATCACATGCATTCCTATACACCAATAACAGACTTAAAGAGAGCCAAATCAAGAACAAACTTCCATTCACAATTGCCACAAAGAGAATAAAATACCTAGGATTACAACTAACAAGGAATGTAAAGGACCTCTTCAAGGAGAACTACAAGCCACTGCTCAATGAAATAAGAGAGGACACAAACAGATGGAGAAACATTCCACGTTCATGGTTTAGAAGAATCAATATCGTGAAAATGGCCATGCTGCCCAAAGTAATTTACAGATTCAATGCTATACCCATCAAGCTACCAATGACCTTCTTCACAGAACTGGAAAAAACCACCTTAAACTTCATATGGAACCAAAAGAGAGCCTGCATAGCCAAGTCAATTCCAAGCAAAAAGAACAAAGCGGGAGGTATCACACTACCGGACTTCAAACTATACACAAGGCTACAGTAATCAAAACAGCATGGTACTGGTACCAAAACAGAGATATAAACCAATGGAACAGAACAGAGGTCTCAGAGGCAACACAACATATCTACAACCATCTGATCTTTGACAAACCAGACAAAAACAAGCAATGGGGAAAGGATTCCCTGTTCAATAAATGGTGTTGGGAAAACTGGCTAGCCATGTGCAGAAAGCAGAAACTGGACCCCTTCCTGACACCTTACACTAAAATTAACTCCAGATGGATTAAAGACTTAAACATAAGACCTAACACCATAAAAACCCTAGAAGAAAATCAAGGCAAAACCATTCAGGACATAGGTGTAGGCAAGGACTTCATGACCAAAACACCAAAAGCATTGACAGCAAAAGCCAAAATAGACAAATGGGACCTAATCAAACTCCACAGCTTCTGCACAGCAAAAGAAACAGTCACTAGAGTGAATCGGCAACCAACAGAATGGGAAAAAGTTTTTGCAGTTTACCCATCTGACAAAGGGCTGATATCCAGAATTTACAAAGATCTAAAACAGATTTACAAGAAAAAAACTAACAAGCCCATTCAAAAGTGGGCAAAGGATGTGAAGAGATACTTTACAAAAGAAGACATACATGAGAACAACAAACATATGAAAAAATGCTCATCATCACTGGTCATCAGAGAAATGCAAATCAAAACAACATTGAGATACCATCTCACGCCAGTTAGAATGGCTGTCATTAAAAATCTGGAAACAACAGATGCTGGAGAGGATGTGGAGAAATAGGAACACTTTTACACTGTTGGTGGGAGTGTAAATTAGTTCAACCATTGTGGAAGACGGTGTGGCAATTCCTCAAGGACCTAGAAATAGAAATTCCATTTGTCCCAGCAATCCCATTACTGGGTATATATCCAAAGGATTATAAATCATTCTACTATAAGGGCACGTGCACACGAATGTTCATTGCAGCACTGTTTACAATAGCAAAGACCTGGAACCAACCCAAATGCCCATCGATGATAGACTGGACAGGGAAAATGTGGCACATATACACCATGGAATATTATGCAGCCATCAAAAACGATGAGTTTGTGTCCTTTGTAGGGACATGGATGAACCTGGAAACCATCATTCTCAGCAAACTGACAGAAGAGCAGAAGATCAAACACCACATGTTCTCACTCATAGGCGGGTGTTGAACAATGAGAACACATGGACACAGGGAGGGGAGCACTACATACTGGGGTCAGTTGGGGGGGAATAGGGGAGGGACGGTAGGGAGTGGGGAGCTGGGGAGAGATAGCAAGGGGAGAGGCACCAGATGTAGGTGATGTGGAGGAAGGCAGCAAATCACACTGCCACATGTGTACCTATGCAACAATCTTGCATGTTCTTCACATGTACCCTAAAACCTAAAATGCAATAAAATAAATAAATGGGAAAAAATAAAAATAAAAAATAAATAAAATGGATGCTACAGTTAAAAAAAAAGAAACAAGAACAGCAGAGAAATGTAGTACAGTCAAAAATCAATCATCATGTTTTTAATTCTCATCAGATAAGCACTAATATACCTAGCTATTGTTCTGATAGAATGTCATGAAAGAACATTATTACTTAGCCAAATTATTCAGTCCTTTTAGGCCAGCTGCATCAACTTTGGTGATTTTGTTGCCATCAAGGTGTAATTCAGTAAGGGAAGGAGGAAGACCTGGAATGTGGAATTAAAGATATTAAATTAGGAGATAAATATTATAAGTACAGAATGTGGACAGACTTAATGAAGACATATGCCATAAATTTTATAAAAGACATACGGTTCCAAGGGTCAGTTTTACTTATCACCTTTTTTTTCATCTGAAGTAGTGCAAGCCCTTGCTATTTTTATCTTAGGTTGACTTTAACAAAAACATGGATTATTTTTATCATGTGGTCGACATTTGTTCTTGGAATAGAAGAACTGAAGCCAATGCTGACTCTCATTATTCTCTTCCACCTTTGTTAATGGGTGAAAACTGACGCTGATAAAATATAGTAATTATAAAATGAGAAGGTCTCTATTTGAACCACAATGAAGAGATTATGTATAAGTTAAAACCATATGAAAACTTAATTATTTCATTAATGAGCATCATTAAAAATTAACACTGATATGCTGTGCTGGTCTTAGCCTTAATTGACTCTGCCATAAAAACATCAGATACCTCTGCAAAATGTCTTTGTGGAAACAACTAACATTTACTTATGTCTATTAAATCCAGAATGTCTATGCAGGAGGAGGACAGAGGTCTATAATCAAGTGATCTGCCATATGTGGAGCACCTGGGGGAATAATTTTAGATCCAAAGTACCCACTAAACCTCTGGATAGTACTTGAATGGCTGTGATTTCCAAAGATTATTATAAATATAAGAATTTAAATATTTTATTTTCATTTCCTCCTAGCATCTGAGGATGTATTACATTTTATACAGCTTTTATAATAACATATTGTTCCACTTAATAGTAATAGATACAAAGAAAATAGCAAACTGGTGACGTGCAGAAAAAGCATCTGATTGGCAGAAAGTCTTGGCTATTTGTCTATAAAGACACAGAATTGAAAAACCATAGGTTTCCTTTGGCCTGAAATTTTTATCACATCACATTGAATTCTGTCAATATTGTCTATTAGACAATAGTTTAGTCCTTATTTGATTTGAAAATGATTTTTAGTTTCCTATGGTGGCATATTTTGTGTGGTAGCTGCTAGGAAAAGAAACATTTATTTATTGCATATCTGTTATGCATCAAACATTGATCTTGGCACTTTTCCTACCTTCAAATCCTTTAAGTCTCTCAAAATATAAATTATTGGTCACTAGTCCCCTTTCAGATAAAGAAGTAAGAATCAAAGTTACAAATTTAGCAGATGGTCTATCTATTATGTAGGGAATGCAATATGCTCCTAGATGGCAAAAAAAAGAAGTTAAAATAGCATGTCCTTAACTGGAGGAAATAACAATTACATTATTCTTATACATAAATATTAGGAAATCACAATCACTCTGGGAATAAGGCATTTCAACCACTTGATTCTCCTGAGAATAAACAAATATGAATTTTCAAATACCACCCTAGTGGAAAAAGTATGTATATAACAAATACACATCCTTTCTTCCCTATTGCCAAGAAGATATATGTATTTTTTTTTAATGCAGTGCCTCTAGTAGACCAATTGCTATCACATCCATCACTCTTACTTAGTTTCAAAATGTCTCCCTTTTTTAGATATCAGTTTCCCAAATGTAGTTATAGCTAGGAAGAAGTTTGATTTGGGGAGAAATCTTTGCAATAGGTTTGAGATAGACAGATTTATAAAGTGCATCATTAGCTTCTGCCACTGTGGCATTGAGTTAGAGAACCAATACTCTAGTTCTTTATTTGTTTTTAATTTTCCTTTTTTAAGATAAAATATATTGAGGCTTAACGCTGGGCCAAATACTGTGCATGTACATTGCAAGCCTTACTTCTATGTAGTAATTCTTACAATAATTCTAGCAAATAGGTATTATTAATACCGCCATGTAAGTGATAACAAACCTGAGGTTATAGAAATGCAGAATAATTATCCTAAAGTCACAATACAACTAAATAAGTGAGTTAGGTCTCTCACCCAGGCTGGTGTAAGAGTATGATTTTATAGCCTCTACACTAAATTCTACTGCCTTTCCATTTCCATGAATGATGGGAGAAAATATCACCAGGAGGTTGTTGATGTTCAAGCATAAGTATCCCAGCCTAAGCAAGGTGAAATCATGTATTAGGTAAGCATAAAGATGAATGAAAAGGAGGACTTAATATGGCAACAGAGTGAAATAGTTGAACACATGAATTCTGGTATTAGCACCATACAATTCCATCTCTGCTGGTTCCTACCTCTAAGAACTTAATCACAATTTACTTTACCTGTTTAAGTTTCATTTTCCACTCTTATAAAACAGGAATGATAATACTACTATATAGGGATGTTGTAAGAATCTATAAAAGACTCTATGACAAGCATTTGGTATGATACCTGGCACTAAATACATGCTTAAAAAAATCGTAGTCACTTAATTTTTCTGCTAAGTTGTAGTAAAGAAAAGCAAGCTATAAATGATGAAGAAAGAATACCTGGGATAGAAAGACACAGGAAAGCAAGGGAAAACAGAACCTGAAATGATAAAATGTATTACTGAAGGATATTTTGGAGGATGCATTAAGAAGGAAAGCGAAGTCTGAGATTGTGCTTAATATAAGTCATCTGGTAACATGAAATAAATTTCAGTAAGAATTTTAGCAAGTTCTATCTATCTGTCTATCTATCTATCTATCTATCTATATCAATGCCCAATTTATATCTACTTGAGATATAAATATTTTATTCCTGCACTGAGGATAGTGAAAGGTCACTTGCTACATGGAACAAATTGAAGACTCAACATGAAAGTTCTTTCTAAACTATAAATCAGTCTTTATCATCTATATATCTATCTATCCATCCACCTGTCCTAGTAGTTGCTACTAACAAAGTCAAAAGCAAGCTTTGTATTCAAAAGACTATGGAGAGGGTAAGGAGCAGTAAGAAAGCATCCTATGGAATATGTACTCAAAGGAGTTGAATTTCTGTAAAAGAACAATAAAGGATAACTGGTGTTTTCTGTAGGCAGATACCTACATTTTTTACGCAGTCAAGAACAAGGCATCTAAGTTGAGAAAGGGACAGACTGAGGGGAAAACTAGAGAATATAAAGGGGCTTTTGTGAGACTGAAAAACAGAGCAGGGACAATGTACAAGGTAGAGGAATGTATTATTGGTGGTTTGATGCCTTTTCTGATTCACCAAGAGTGGTTTTTATGTCTCTCCTGGGTATCCCTTGGAACGATGAGCTTAGCCTTCGGATTATGTGGTTATTGCTGTGTATTTTTCTGGCTGGGTTTTAGATAGTAAGCTCCTAAAGGCATGTAGCATATCCTATTCACTGACCTGTCTTCAGTGTGTGGCACATTGCCTATACATACTAGTGTTCAGACCACCTTTAATGAATAATAGAAAGTTATATTAAGCTCCTACTTATCTATATGCTAAATATTTCTCTATTTATTTAACTTTAAAACAACTCAACGAAGTGGATTGCAGTATTATCTCCACTTGACAGATAAAGAAATAGAGAACAGATGAATAACTTTTTCAAAGTCATTGAACTGACTCCAAAATCTACATTTTTACTACAACCACCACTATCATTCAGACATTAATAACCGGAATGTCTTAAAAAAGAAAAAATTCCCTAAGTGATTGCAGACTCAAGGTAAAAACTGGATCAATTTCAGAATACTCCCATATCTCCATATCTCCCATATATCTTTTATTTACAAACACCAAGGCATGCTACTTTTAAAAAAATCAATGCACTTTTTCTTTGTAATCTCACAATATTATAATATGAAATCACATAATTAAGTTATGTCTTACAGTAGACTTTAACTGGAGTCTACCCATCTCTACAGTGAGCCCGGATGACCCATTGGTCATCCAGTTGAAAGCACCTCCAGTAAGAGAGAATTTGCTGGAAATAAGTTTGCCCACTTAGGTGACAGTTCAAATTCCCACAACGTTTTCTTTTTTTTAATCGAAGTCTTTGAATTTAAATTTTTCAAAATGTTTTGGAGAATATTCTATCACCTTGAGGAATGCTGGTGATATTGGTATCAGCAATGCGGATGTAGGAGAGCTTCTTCATTCCCTGGAAAGCCCCATTTTCAATTCCTGAGCTCTTCAGTGGGTTGGTGCCCAGTTCTACAAATATAATAAGTGCAAGGCTTTTAGAGGACATTTTAGGATATTACTAGTCACTGTAGTATCTGTTTCAATTAGAAATCTATAAAAAAAATTGGGATTAATATCAACTTGACTAAAAAACAAAAGTGAAAATTAAAGGGCATGCTCCTCAGAAGAATAGTGAAATGAGATAAAACTTTCGCTTATTAAAACAAACAAAAGCCAACCAAACAATAATGACTTATGAAAAATACTATTAGTGAAAGCAATAAGAATAAAATTATTTAAGATGCATACACAGGCTTGCCCAGAAATCAATTAAAGCAAGTTTACAAATCCCATCTTATGTTATTTATTACTTTCCTAAGATACTTTAAAATTTTGTTAAAGAATTTCAATCTAGCATTTTGTAAGCCAATAATAAAATTACAATTTTTACCATGTTTAGTGAAACATTATAACATATTTTTAAAACAACTGATTTATGAGTGTTTAGAATACAACGGGTCCCCAAAATGGAAAAGTATCTCAAAATATCTGTAGTTAAGCACTATATAAATTCATCTTTGCATATTGAGCATGTGGTAGGGTAACTTCAGTCCTAGGGTTTTCTCCATATACTCAGATACTCAAAGACAGACAATAAAAATATCACTAGAAGGTCCGGATTCAAAATCCCAATTTCTCTTGGCCCTGCTCTTATAAATAACATAGGCTCCAGGCATGCAGGTTGTAGCTAATTTACCTTCCTGCACCTAAAACCCAGTTGAGGTCTCTTAAGGTAAAACTGGAGTCTTAAAATTATAAAAATGTCTGTACCTATGACAATCATCTGGTTCAGTCCATTGAAAGTAGCTTTTCGCACTTTGGTGATCTCATTCTCATGGGCACGCAGCTCCTGAAGAGTTTTCGGCATTTTTTCTGGCAATTCCTTCAGGTGATTCTTGGACAGATAAAGTCGTTCCAACTTCACCAAAGGTGTAAATGCTCCAGGGCTGATTTTGCTAATTTTGTTGTTGACAAGAATCAATGCCTGTAGTAAGGGAAGAAAAACATCTTAAATCCAAACTTTCCACATATATATCAAACAAGTGAATGCTTGTCAGTCCATTCTTAGGGCTACCAGAGAAATCTAGAAAATTGCAAGAAATCAGAAAAAAATAAAAAATAAAATAAGCAAGATTAGGCCAGGTGTGGTGGCGTGCATGTGTAATCACAGCAAGTTGAAATTAATCCAGGTGTGATGGCTCACGCCTATAATCCCAGCACTTTGGGAGGCCGAGGTGAGCAGATCACTTAAAACCAGGAGTTTGAGACCAGCCTGGCCAGCATGGCAAAACCCTGTCTCTACCAAAAATGCAAAAATTAGCTGGATGTGGTGGTATGTGCCTGTAGTCCCAGCTGCTTGGGAGGCTGAGGCAGGAGAGACACTTGAACCTGGGAGGCCGAGGTTGCAGTGAGCCTAGGTTGCACCGCTAAACACCAGCCTTGGTGACAGAGCAAGACTGACTCAAACAAACAAACAAAAAATGTATAATATGAAGATCTGAAAATCAGGAATGAAAAGGAGGGAAGTGTAATAAGATATGTAATTTATACATCAACATATATACACCCTATACAAACAGACATGTATGTATATGTGCATGTGTATATATATATATAATTTTTAAATAATAATTGAAATGACCCAAGATACCTGAAAATAATCATTACCACAGATATCCATCCCCCAGTCAGCTTTTTAACCTAAAAGTCTATCTTCATTGACTGTGATCACAGATTCTACTACACAAGATACCAATTTACACTATCACCAGCAATGCAAGGAACTAAAATTTTCCAGCAGCCTTGCAATATTTGTTGTTATCTTTCTTAAGAGTATGTCCAAAATAATATAATGTTGTAGCTCATTGCTTTTCTTTGTATTTCCTTGTCATTTAAAAAGGTTAAACAATTTTTCTTTTATTTTCCTACCATTTATTGTATTTTTTGGAGAGAGGAGATTGCCTGATCACAAATACTTCTTGTGCTTATTAAATTTTAATATATTTTAATAATTGATTTAGAGAATAAAGATATAGTCAATATAGTACAGAGAGACTTAACATAGTTTCTCCTGAAGTTTTTTGCCTTTTTTTAGGTGTAAAGGTTTTATATGACAAATACAAAGGTTTTATATGACAAATATGTTAGTATATTGGGTAATTATTTGGTTTTTATTTCTGAGTTCCCTTCACATAAGAAATTACCTCTAATTCATTATTATTATACTTATAACTATTGGTAGGCCTATTTTTGGACTAGTTTATTCTTTTTTGATTATCTGTATGTCTAATAAAACCACATTGTTTTATTAAGGCACTTTATTAACTAATTTTAAGAAACTTAAAACAATTTATTATGGTCTAAGAACTTTGCATTTTCAATTGTTGCATATCTTTTGCATATATGAGAATGTGGAGGGGCAAAAAGGGACCTGTAATAGGACGGCATGAACTTTTGCCCTCCCTGTCCTATTACAGAAATAGAAATGCAAGAATGTTTTCTAAAGGTAATAGCTGATTAATTAATCTATGTACATCCTCATATAGTTCACATTATTCAATAAATTAAAACTTCTTATTAAGTAATATAATCTTTTAACTAATCATGAATGATGCATTGGTTGATTAATGCAAAATCCTAACACATTGGGGTGAATAACTTCAAAAACTCATAGGAGTTAAGGTCATAAAAATTTGACATTAATAAACAAAAATTCAGAGAAAAGCCAGAGCCTGCTTAGAGTGAGGTGACATATATCATTATAAGACATCCAACATTGTGGGTGCCTAATGAAAAGCATAAAGGAGATATTCAATTCCTATCCATGGAGGAAAATTTTAAAAGTGTAATGCAATTAAATGTATTAAACATGATCTGAAAACTTTGTTTTATGTTAAATGTTTTTGAAACCTGACTTCCAATAACATTTTTTTTCTTCAAAGCCACGTATGGAGGGCTTACACTGTACCAAATATTGTCCTAAGGGCTTTTTGGGTGATTGTCATATTCATCGGCAATTATTAGTGTAAATACTCAAGCCAGAATTCTGAGTTTAGAATCTCAAGCTCTGGCTCATATTTGGTCTGTGACTATGAGCAAGTACCTTAACCTTTCTGTGGCTGTTTAAAGAAGATATCAAGTGTGACTAGCTCATAAAAAGTTATAAGAATTAAGTAACTTAATGTATATAAGGTACTAAAACAGTGCCTAGTATATACAGTAATTGCCAAACAAGTATTTGCTTTTATTCAGTCTTTGACAATTTTTGCTGATTTTTAATTAAAAAAATCTTTCTTACTTGACTTATGAAGATTAAGCTTCAATTAAAAGAAAATACATTAAATGTTGGCATTACTACACTTAATTTCCCATTATTTTACAGAGCAAATATGCAGTTTTTCCTACTATATATGTATAAAATTACTCTTATGCAATACATACCACTCATAATGAAGCACAGACAGGGAACTTGATTCTGTTAAATTCTATTTTAATCCTTGCTGAATTTTCATTTCTTTCCTTCTTAAGTATGGCTTTGCTATCTAAAATTATGATGTTTATTTGCATAATAACAAGGATAAAAAGGATCATGAATGAAAGAGTAAGAGAAAAATAGCTGTTTAACATCCTCTGAATGGTTGAAGTCTCTAATGAACTCTCTTTATTCATCTGTTGTATACTTTGAAGAAGAAAGAAAGAGATTGTCAAGATGATGGCTGCCTAAAAACATACTTAGAAGGAGACTTAAGAAAAGAAAGAACACATTATTACAAATGCCAGATTTAATGAGAATGCCACAGACACTAGATGTCTCTTATTTAAGGATATAAAGGGCTTTTTTTTAAACATACTCAGATTATACTTAAATGAACAGGAAGTTGAGATGAGAGTTACGTTTCATTGAGATGAGAACATTTCATCCTTTAAAAAAGTAGCTATAAGGCAAACTTGTGCAAATAAAAGTTTTTAAAATATTTTAGTAATCTAAATTTAATAATATTTTTTATGGTCTCCTTTTTAAACTTATACCAATGGTACCTTAAATAATCATTGATAAATCTTACTGGTTTCACCATCAACTGACTCCCAGTGAAACTTTAAGGTGAAGGCAGGGAGTTGGTGAATAAGGTTCTAATCAGTGGAAAGAGACCCAAAGGTCGGAGCCTCCAGCTTGTTCTTACCCTTCATTGTTTCAGCTGTTTCTTTCACTCTAGCCAATTTGTATTTGTATTTGTCTGCTTCTTTTTTTCTTCTGCCTTTGCTTTCTTCTTATTCAGAGAGCCCTTTTCTCTCTGCCTTTCAAACTTCTGCTGATCATCTAAAACTCCTTCCTTGCATATTCTCTCAAAATTGTATCTGGTAATTGGAAAAATAATGATGCCTAATTTTTTCTTTTACTATGTCACTATTTATATTGCTGTTATATTGTTGGACACATCAATAAGTTGATCATGGCACTGTTTTATCTGACATTTTTTAAATGATTCCATGTAGTGTCTCAAAATTTTAGAAAAAAAAATTATTTCTTCCTTTAAAAAATATAGTATATTTTCTTCGAATGGATACATGTTTACTGCTTTTCCCATCTTGGCTGCTGGGGAAAGTTTGTAACTAAATTGTATCTTGATTATAGTAACTCTGTAATAATTATGACCAGTCCTATTTTATATTACATTATTTCCCCTGTAACAGTATTTTTTATTCTAAGGTATATCAGATGATTTCTTTATTTATCTTGTAGTAAGTATTGCCTATTTTCATGATATATCACCTCAATTATTTTCTATAATGACTAGAATAAATAAGTAGATATGAAATTAGAGTTTGGTATGTTTATGCTCCCAACGTTAAGAATGTATTCCTATGACATTCATTATGCAAAGCTGTGAACTCCAATTTACACAGGCAGGTAACAAATCATGAGGTAAGTCTTTATTTTCTGAAAATTCTAATACATTAAATTTTATTTTGAATGTTGAATAAAAATCTGCTTCCCTAAAATCTACTCACTAGGACAATTCTGTTATCTTGTAGTTGAAGCAAGTAAATACAATTCTTTTTGTTCAACATGGCCCTTCAAATATGCCACTAGTGACCCTCATCACTCAATTTAGACATCCGCCTCTCCATACACTGTGCCTATGGGACCTAATTTCCAGATTCTTTACTTCCATAATCATCTATCTCTAGATGTTCTTTAATGCCTTTCTTAAAATGCCAAGAACCAGACTCAATACTTCAGAGTGATCTACCAGAATGGAAGCAGGTACAGTGAGATTTCCAGAGTATATATTTTGGACATTGAAGTCTGGCTTACTTTTATTTAATGTGCACTCTTGTTTTGAGGGAAGAACCACATCACATTCATCCCAGGGATAGACAGCTGGGCAAGAAAATGCATTTTATAGTGATTCTGGTATTACATGTGAACAAACAGTGCATTTACTCTTATAGGTTGCCTTAGCAAGGGTTGCCTCTATTTTATTAGGTTGGTCATTCTTCTTGTACAACATATTCTCTCCCAACTGCCTCTATATTCATTCTTTGCCTTTTTGGGGGGCCCTTCTTCATGTCCCAGGAAGCTGACCTCTGGGGAATGCATCAATCAAATGGCCTCGTCTTTCTGTCTCAAGTAGATGCAACCATAGGAGATACAGGCAGGAAATTAGGAAGTGGAACTATAGTCCCCCAGATCTCCCATGACTCTGAGACCCCCAAATTTTTCTAGGCCTTTGTGGGACTGGGTACCTCACCTCGCCTTGTTGGGGTCACATACCCCTTTGCAAATAGAGGTTTCAATAACTTCTCTTCCATGAAACCCCTTTGTGAGTGGCATCTCTTTTCTAATGAAATCCTGACTGACAGACTGAACATTATGAGAGGGTAGAGAAGTAAGTGAAAATCAAAATAAGCATACAGATAAGATCACAGCATACATAATCCTAAATATAAAGCAAGAAACATATATATATATATAAAGATAAAATTATATTTTACTTAGTAAAATATGAATAATTATCTTTTCTTTGCTTGATGCCAGTCTTTGACACTTTAGAACGTCATTCACACTTTTCTCAGAAAATGCATGAAAACAGACAAAATAAACAAAGAAATAAAACAATACTAGGATCAGTCCGTTTTGCGTTTTGTTCCACTATAAAAATACAATTTAATTTGGAAGACCATTTTTATTCCCAAAACTGTCAGAGAAAATTAAGATCTAAAGTATTTTTATGAAAAAAAAATACCTAAGATACATGGAGTATATATAAAATAAAACTGGGTGAATTTTTAGTGGTTAATGAATACAATGTTTTGATTCCCTACCACTGATAAAAGTGATGTTAATAAACACTAATGTGCTTCTTTGTTTACAGATAGTACTCTTGGCCTTATCTAGGTTGTGTTTTGAAAAATACTTTGAGTCTTATTGTGATTGAAAAAATAGTTCTTACATGAAGGTTCTTCAGGTTCTTAAAGTCTCCATCTTTGATTTCAGTTATTTTGTTGTTTTGCAGGTCCAGCAGAGTTGTGTCAGGGGGAAGATCCTTTGGCACTTTGTCCAGACCTAGCATAAGAGTAACAAGAATGTGCAGTGAGTAGAAAGGGCACATGGCTACAGAATCATACAGTATATATTTACCAAGAAATTAATGTTGTGATGAGTAACAGTAACAACTTACTATTCTTCTAAGAATTACATTCATTGTAGGGTAAAATTTTTGCTTTATCTTTTGCAACAAAGTCAAATAATTTTTTGCATTTAATAATAAACTCAATGTGATATTTTCCTCATGGAATTAATCCTCTGCATAAAAGGAACATTTTTGTTGCATTAGGGTGTGACTCAAATCTGTTTTACCTCTTGGTTCTTATATTGAAAAGTAGTTATTCTGATAAGCAGTCAGCATGAGTGATTCGTAAATCCATAAATTTTTACATAAATACCGTGTCAATAATGACTCTAGCCAAATCAGTAATAAAGATCTTTTTGATAAACCTAACCCTGTCACAGATCTACAGTTAAAATTATAAGAACATATAATCAAGTTGTGTCAGGATCTTGAAAATCTGTCTAATATTTTGGGATAACAGTTCTTTTAGTTTTCATTGGAATGCCAAAACAATATCAATTTCAGTTGATATTTTATGACCAATAGATATAGGGCTAGTTAGAATGAAATAAATTTGGTAGTATGACTTACCTAAAATTAATTTTATGAAGTATTATTTTTAGACTTTAGATTTTGGTCTAACTGACTAAATTATTGTTTTTAGTTTGTAAATGTAAACTCATTGAATAACCAAATGGTCCATGGTATTAAAAAATATTTTAATAGCCATTTGGCTAGTCAAATAAGGATAAATGAGAATTATAAAAAAGGCAGTTATTTTGAATAAATCATTTTGAATCATAACGGAGTAAAATATTAAATAAGGCCTTTTGCCTTTCTTTTTTCCATTGTTTCATACTGAAGTAGGACATTAAGTAAAAATTTGATATTCTATTAACTCAAATCAATGTGATCATTTCCGTATTTTAAGATTCCATAACATAAATCAGAAATATTTTTCAGCCTTTTGTAGAAGCAATCTCTCTGTCATATCTGATACTTGAAGTACTGAAGATTATTTTTTCATAAATTCCACAAGCCTTTATTGAATACCTCCTGGGCACCATAAATTTATTAGATTCTGGGAATATATCAGGACCAAGGCAGATATTGCCTATGACTCCATAAAAAATAAAATTCAGTTTATCATTTTCAATTAAAATAAAATTGCAACATGGTATAATGTTGAGAAAATCACTTTTCAATTTTGAGTTCTATGTAAATACACTTGTAAACAAAATAGGTAGCCCTACTTTGACTATCTTCATTTCTTCCATCAAAATTACCAAAAAAAATATCTGAAGCCATCTATTTCTGAGTATTTCCCAAATAATTTTTTAGCCACAATATCGCTGCTCCATTGATAGTTGGGGTTGGGGGTGAAATCTTGTTCTTAATTCAGTGACCACCTATCTTGATAAATTTAAATATCAAAAAAAAGGTTAATTCTAAACTTACATAAATATGTTACATAAATATATAACTCTTATAGACACAGTTCCCATAGAAATGACAAGAGTTAAGTGCTTTCAGTGATGAACAGCAAAATACCAGAACAGCTATCTTGTAGGAGGTTGTTTAATGACACTGTACAGTTGTAATTACTGCCATTTTCAGAAATGTCAATTTGCTAATTTCATGCAATTAGGTATAGTGCACTTCTTCCAAATCTTTTATAATTAGTGTTCTCCAACCCAGAAAAGACAAACTTCTTTTCATTTGGAACATAGTTACTAGGTTTTATCATTTTTTCTTGGGCACCTTCATCAAAGTCCTAATTTCCACTTATGCTTACTTTTATTCATTGGTGAACTTAAGTTCTAGTGACTCTCAACATTTGGTCAATGCCAAACTGCAGATAAAATTTCAAATGTGTAGGGAAAAAAATGATGTGACTGGATGGCTGACACTTTTGATTATGTTATCATTCTAAAATTTTATAACAATAGGAACTATTTAAGGTAATTTATATACATCTTATTTCCAGAGATTTAGAAAAAAGGAATAGCATCTACAGGATTCTAATTTTTGTAGTTTAGTTTTTGGAGAGCCATTTCAATGATTAAAATCTTAAATCTACAACCTGCTCTGAATTAGAAAACTTGTGTTTATTTGGGGGATTTCACATACTAGTATTTTTATTAATAATTTATGTTGTTTTAGAGTTTATTTTTAAAAATGAAAATATGTTCTCATTTACCTTACAACAACCCAAAGAAATAGGTAAGGCAGTATGATAATCTCATACTTTCAGATAATATTTTCATAATATGAACAGGCTTATTTAGCTAGGAATGACAAAATGTGGATTAGAAGACAACTATCCTAGATTCCAGCATGACCTTTTTTTCTGCCATACCTATCTGTATCCCCCAAAAGAATTGTTCTGACAGATCCAGTAATATGCTGTACCTGTAAGGGCTAGATAAGGCACTGGAGTGTTTACTAGCTTCCTCAAAGACAATAGGCAGAGTATAATGGAGAATTTACCCTAGTTATCAGTTCTCTGAATGTCACAAAGGGAAGGGCCCTTAAATATCAGCTAGTCTATGATTCCCAAATGCTGATTAGGTAGACTCTATGATGAGGTTTTTAACAATCTATATCAAAATAAAAAACAAGAGCATTGTGGTTAGTTTTAATGTAAATTATCTCACTCACACATAGAGACACACACACACACACACACACACACACACACACACACACACACTAAGACCATCTGAGACCAGTTCCTGCCTTCCCTTTCATTTCTACTTTTAAATATACATTCTTTAAAAAATGCTTATGATAGCAGATGGCAGGCTCTTATTTTGTTAGATTTGGTATTGACCTTAATTAGAAATTAACTTGTTCATCATTCAAAAGTTTACTTATCCCAGAAATCAGAGAATTTTAAGCCAGTCTAATATCATTTCATAAGTAAAGAAACAGAAACCCAAAGACATTAAATAGCTTATCTAAGGTGACTCATGGCTAAAGTAGACCAAGAACCAGGATAGTTTGAGTCCTCACTCCAGAGCTATATGGTGTGCCTTTTTTTTTCTTTTTTCTTTTCTTTCTTCTTTTTTGTTTTTGTTTGTTTGTTTGTTTGTTTGTTTTTTTGAGACAGAGTCCCACTCTGTCACCCAGGCTGGAGTACAGTGGTGCGATCTTGGCTGCTCACTGCATCCTCCACCTCCCGGGTTCATGCAATCCTCCTATCTCAGCCTCCCAAGTAGCTGGGACTATAGGCACCAGCCACCACACACAGTTACTTTTTGTATTTTTAGTAGAGACAGAATATCACTGTATTAGCCAGGATGGTCTTGATCTCCTGACCTCGTGATTGACCCACTTCAGGCTCCCAAAGTGCTGGGATTACAGGTGTCAGCCACCACACCTGGCCGTGGTGTGCCATTTATGCAGGTGATCACTATGCATATTTTTAAATGCTGATCTACAGCTATTCCTTGAGCATATTATGTCATTCCCAGCTACTCATTTTTGTTCATGCAATGCATATTTTATGTAGAATTCCACTTATTTATTTATACTTCCATTTTAACAATCCCTTGAAGCATATCCATTATCCCAGCTCCTCTGTAATATTCATCCTGACCACCCTGTGTAACAGTAATCTTGCACCTCCAAAGTTCTTATATGCTATAGATTTATAAGTTTACCCCATGCTGTCCTGTATTTCAGGGTCTGTGTTTGCTTTGTTAGTTTTTGTTTTCGTTTTTGTTTTTCCTGAGTAAGGAGGACTAATTACTGTTTTACATCAGCACTTTGCTCTGATTGCTTTGAAAACAGGAAGTGCCTCTCTGATTAATTAATTTTAAAGTCTATCTGCCTTGCTGTACCATGATAAAAAGTTCATGAGCATGGATTTGAGATCATTTCTGCCATATTCTGTCATAACCATCTCCCTCTAACCTGCTATCATAGCAGAACTTATTTTTCCTCAGAAGTATTAGGATACAACTCGTTATAATGATTACAATTTTCTTCCTGATTCTCAGTTGGCCAGGAATATTTTATAAATGAATGCTACCTACTACCAAATATGTCATTGCCATTACATGCACCTGAAAATTGCTCTCACTTTCTTCAGTGTTTTTGCCATATTTGTGAAGCACCTTTTGTCACATACATATCTCAAGAAGACTGACTTTTCTGTCTTACAGGGTGACTAATCCAGCAGTAAGAGTTTCTCTGCATGGCATATATTTCTCCTGAGAAAGGATCAATTAGAAGCTTCTAAATGAAGAAACAAATATTCATTCATAGATTTGTATTGTCAAAAACAAACAATCTTGAACCTGATTAAGCCTCTAAATTCCAAGAGAAAATGAAGAAATTGTGAATCTGTAATTTAAAGAAGAGCTAAGAGCTATTTTAGCTGGGTGCTGTGGCTCAGGCCTCAAATTCCAGCACTTTGGGAAACTCAGGAAAATGGATTACTTGAGCCCCAGAATTCAAGACCAGCCTGGGCAACATGACAAGGCCCCCTCTTTACAAAATATTAACTGGGCATTGTGGCACAAGCCTGTAGTCCCAGCTACTCAGGAGGGAGGATTCCCTGAGCCTGGAGAGGACGAGGCTACAGTGAGCTGTGATCATGCCACTGCACTACAGCCAGGGCAACAGAGTGAGATCCTGTCTCAGGAGAAAAAAAAAAAGAAAAGAAAAGAAAAAAGAAAAAAATAAAAGAAGAAAACTATTTTTAAAAATGCAATGTATCTACTATGTACTTCATCTGGATCTTGATTCATATGAATAAACTATAAAAAAAACAGATACATTTTGTGGTTATTCATAAAATGATATAGAAAGTAAAATGTTAAGCATTTAAATGATATTTTAATTACCCAGGTTAAATTTACATCAAAATATGTTCCAGAATGAAAACAAAGTCATCGAGATATAATTTAATCCTTTTCTTACAATCCTAAGTAGAAGAATTAAGTGA